GGCTGTAAGGGCGTCTTTTTCTGGATCCAGAGTCAGTCGAGGAGGTCTTAGACTTTTGTCGCCAACGGAATATTTAACAATTATTCCTTGAGCCTGAAGGCCGAATGGGCTTTTGACTCAGAGGCCATGACCAACTAGTTGGTAAAAAAATATCGAGACAAAACAACTTTCGCTAGTTAAAGCTAGACTTTCATCCTTTTTTGCCGCCAAAAAGCCGGCGCTTTTCGCTACTAGTGGGCTATAACAAATATCCTTATAGTAGCTCAACCAATCAGAACGCAGCATCGATAATAGACAACTAGTTGGCTTTTACTAACAAAGATTTATCAGACGCCTAACCCTAGACAGTGGAGACATGTACAAGACTTTTGTCGCCAACCGAGTGTTGTGTTCCTTGTCGATCAAAATGCTCCAATCGGTCGATGGTAATTTTTCCACATCAGGATTGGCAGGTACGCGTTGTGCAAGTGAGTGTAAGGGGCCAGAAGCTTATCCACCCAATAACACGACTGTTTTCTTTGAACGTCGCTGACCAGCCATAGTCCAAAAGAGAGGAGCTGAGGATCCGGAGCTCCTTGTAAGCACCAGGTGATACCCCTGCGTAGGGGACCGCAGCTAGTCAAGTAAAAAGTTCCCTGAGCACATGGAAAATTGGCTGTTGTGTGTTCTTGTTTGAACCAGGCTTTGGAACAGAATTTCTCACGCCTGAGAGAATCCAAGTGGCGAGTTTCATACGGCCATGTATGTTTCCAGATTTCCGCAGTTATACCACACCTTCCAGGGGCTTTACCTTCCTTTGCTGCGTTGATGTCATCTAACAGTTCCTTGAATTCATGTTTTTCTTCAAGGCATGCAATGTTTACGGGTCAGCAAATAGAACTATTCCAGGAAACGCGTCGGCGAAACAGGTCAGCACGACATCAGTATACCGGTATGCATTTCCGTGGAATAACTGCGAGTTTGCTCGATTTACGCCCACTCTTGGGTCTGCTGTAGTGTTCCTTCCTGAGAAGAGACTTTTTGGAGGCTCGTTTCTCAAACAGCAGCTGGTAATCAAGCCTGATTGCGAGTCAAAGTTATTCGAACTCAGGGGCTCTCAGGGGTTGAGCTTTTTCGAACTGTTATCAGCGAAACACCTGTAAAACAGATTACATTTAATATTAAATCGGTGTTAGAAATATGTCGATGATATTACTTACACTCGGAAACATGCAGTAAGAATACTAGAAAAACACTCGATTTGTTAAAAACAGGGACCGCATGGAATCATTGGGTAATGATGACGTTTCACCCCTGAACTCCCCCAAGTATGAAATGGTTAGGGATGACGTAAAACAGAAAATGCCCGAAGAGACCGCTTGGTTTGAGTTTGTGACATTTACTTCACTTTTTCTCTAATCACTCTGCAGTGAAACGAGAACAAATCATTTTCACTCTAGAAACCATGAAACGCAGACAAGAATCAGGAATAGGCATCTCGTTTATTGATAGCTAGAACACGGGCAAAATACATGAATAAACATACTACAAACTACAGCTAACGAAGTCGTAAGCTAACAATAATGTCAATAATGTACAATCTGGTAATAACCTTTCTGAAAGATTAAATATAATAACAAAAAAGATAACAAATGCAAGAAAATTTACAGAACGGTAGCGAGAGATGCCGTAAAGTGACCTTGAATCTGCAAAGAACTCCTTATATACCTGATAACAAATAATCACGCACACTGTCAAAATAACTCACGCGACAAATACCAACACATCCGTATGCAAAGCACTGAAGCAACGTGCATACCTTAACGGGAGAAAATACATTTTTATACTTCTACCGTTTTGCGTTTCGTCTGTTCAGTGACATTCTGTGAAGCAGCTGTTTAAAGCTAGTAAAAGTATGTCCGACATACTCTATGATTAGGAATAAATTTTACTATAAAGTCAAGACTCTGATTCCATAAATATTACCCAGTTACCTATAAACGGTTTGATCAATAAACTGATGAACTCTTCTAAATAGTTTATCAATATCAATTCATAAAATATATTTCAGATTATTTTGATGTTCGTGACAAATTATTATCAAAGTAACGTATTGTAATTTTGATCCCTAAAAATAGCTATTGCAATACTGTATGTGCTTGTATGGTCATGCAAATAAAGCTCGTTGTTGTTATTTACCGAAAGACACTCGATCGGTAAGCGTGGACCTACGTTTTGAGAGGCGAATAACAGTGTATAAGCAATTGGAGGGTTTGCCAGACACATGTTTATCATTCACAAATCTTCTTTTGGATTATCTCTCCCTCACTACATGAAACTCATCCTAATGCAATCGATACAGGTAAATCTTTGATTGGAAACGATTTCTCAGACACAAATCACTTTGGAGAAATTATTGAGAGGCTCAGCATAAAAACAAGCAAGTTCCATTAAGTGAAGGCCGGAATCAAGCTAGCTTATTAGCAGAAGAAAGCACGATTACAGACACTTGCCTACAATTCATTTCTGTGCTGACGTATTTCTCTTTACAAATTTTCCTATTCATTTCCAAATTCTTTCTCCGGCTGTTAAAATGAATTGCATGTTAAAAGTGCAAGAGGAATAAAGGAAATTACACCTTCTAATAAAATCTTTCCTTATAGTTAAAACAATTCTTGAAACTGAGAGTGTTTTGATCAAAGCAGCGCAAATCGATTTGAATCAGTGCATGGAATCTTGCGTTTTCTGTTTTTATCTCCCCAATATGATATCAATATGAATCTGTAAATTTTAAAAAAAGAGTCATACAAAGGCAAAGGATACAATTGACAGAAAAAAAAAGAAAAAGGGACGTTGTACTGTGAACTACATTAAACACCCGCATATATAAGAACCAACACCGTAACTCATATGTTTACCTATATTAGTAATCGTATTTGTTTCTCTTTTCATTTAAAAATTTCCTTTTCTTATATCGATGAAAGTAAATGTTGAGGACGTTTCCCCTTTACCAACTTTATTTGCAGATTCACCATCACCATCGCCACACCAAAATACCACAAACTCAACTTCAACAGGTCAGTGATGTTTAGGGGAGTTCACAGACCTTCAGATACGGGGAGGGCGGTCATCCAGACCGTGAGATAAGGGGGACGGTCGTAAAACAATTTTTTTTCGGCCCTTCGGGCCTCAGTTAGGTCCAAAAATAACGGGGAGCCCCGGGCCCCCCGGGCCCCTCCCCTGGATCCGCTAACAGTGTCAACCAAATTGAATTGCCAACCAAATTTAAAAATAGTATCCAGATCTTATCACTTTTCAAATAATACGAGACAGTGGAAGAAAACAGAACCACCCTGAGTCCTGAGTCACTGGACTGTTATGAGAATTCAAAAGTAATTACCGGGTGTCAGTAAAACGCGGGGTCACGGCCAGGGCCGAGGTCGGGGTCTATCTCTTTTTTAAAGAATACTGTTTTAGGGTTAGGATTAGGGTTATGTTAGGGTTAGGGTTAGTGTCAACCCGAACCCTAAGCCTAACCCTAAAACAGTATTCTTTAAAAAGAAGATAGGCCCCGACCCAAGTTCTACTGACACCCGTAATTACCAACAAGTTGCATCGTGCTCCAGTCTAAAGACACATTTTCACAAATTAACACAACGTAGTGTATTAATCCCGGGTAGGCCTTTCCCGATTGTGCTTGGCAACTTTTGAGCAACTTTTGGCGTTTGGAGCAAATTTTTGCGGTTCTAGCAACCTGGGGCTTTGCCTTTCTGAGCAACTTTTGAGCAAAATATAGGTTTAGTGTCCCCACGGTTTAAAGCACATATCAAGCACGAAAAAGTCAACGATTTCATAGAAAACTTCAACGTTTTTAATTTATTTTTATTTTTTTAAGTTTTTTTTAATTTTTTTTTCTTGGCCGATTTTAGTATATAAAAACATCAAGAAATTTAGGTGGCAACTTTTGAAACTTGGGTAGCAACTTTTTAGCATTCCAGTGAGCAACTTTCCAGCATTTTACGAGCACAATCGGGGGTATTCTCCCTATAATGGCATTTACGGGGGGCTCAAAAGGGGGCACCTTTTTCAAGCATTAGATCGATGAAAGGGTAGGGCTTTTACTTGTTAAACTATATGAAAGGGTGGTTCTATCTCAGCGATCGTCGTCGCTGCGATCTCTGAAAAGTCAGGTTTCCATATGATCGCTATGATCGCTGCGATAGCTGATCTTTTTTTCTCAGCGATCGCAGCAATCAGGGCGATCGTAGCGATCGTAGCGATCATATGGAAAACAGGCTTTAAGCTCCCTGTTAGCCTGCGTCAAGTCGCAGACATAATGTACCAGTCAATAACAAAACTACCCATGCCCCCGCACAGACCCCTGGGAATCTGACTTTTTTTGAAAGGTTTTGGTCAAATTCTCGGGTATGTTGGCAGTTTAGATGGTCAAATACCCCACCGGCTAGTGCTTCAAAAAGTGTCAAATCCCGCATTCCACCAGCGACTATTCATGGTCAAAAATTTTCCCATGCGTCAAACCGTTTATTCAAATCTAAATATCCTCCAAAACACAACCGAAATATCTAAGTCTAGGAAAACTGTCTTACGGAGATTTTTTCATTCCAATAGCATTGTTCATTTCAGAAAGCCCGCATTTAACGGGCTCTTTCAAGCTACGTGCTAACGGACGCAATGTTGCTCCAACAATGTTACGTCCGTTTGCACGTAGCTTCAAAGGCTCTCAAATGGTCCAACAAAACAGTGAACATAGGAGTAATGACGTCAATAATCCTTGAACGTGATGTATACGCTGAACGAAACGCTGACCAACATTTTGACACGAACGTCAATGCCCGACAGGGCGGGCCTCAGGGGTCAAATTTCCCACTGTACGAAAAAATGCCCGGGTATGTCGGGGGAGTGGGGGTTTTGGAACTGACTGGTACAAAATCTAACCGTTGTTAGAAGTTTAATTCCGTCTTTGGCGCAGGCTAGCTAGATGGATTAAGACTCGGTACTGAGAAAAACATTCGGCTGGTGCACGATATACCAAGCGAATAGCAAGTCTCGAGTTGCGTCACAAAGAACTCAACAATGATCGTTATCTCTTACACAATAACAAAATAACCCTCACACAATAGAACGAGACAATAGTGCATATATTGACTTGTCATATCGAGCATCATCCAAACATTCGCTCATTTGTTTAATAACCACGTTTAACTGAGTCTGGATTTCTAATTTCTTTCTAGTAGCAACAACCGGCCTGGGTAACAGCAAGTCAGCTGACAATTGGATAATCGCGATTGCGATTTTAACGTCTGGAGTTGGCCTTGTTTTGATCGTGTTTACGGCGTATCACTTTATTAACAAAAAGTTTGGCACAGGATACCGCGCGTGTAAACGTAAGATGACATCCAATCATTTATCAAGCAAAGGAAATCTCCAAAAAGGGCTTTGTCACGAGGATACTTGGCTGAGATCATTACTTAATGTCTCACAAAATGCTAAGAAGAAGATTCCACTCAAATTTTATCAGGGAGCACTAACCATAACATTTTTTGGCGATTTTTAGCGACTTTCCGCGCTTAGCACTGAAAAGTATAAGCGCTATATAAATATTTTATTATTTATTATTTATTATTATTTTTGTGGGCAGAGCTTCAAAACTTAAAAATGTTGGTTTTAACTGTTTAAGCTTTCAATCCATTTCCATCCTTGCCATCCCTTTCAACAGAAGACAAGAAAAAAAATTTAATGCCTAAATTACATAATTCTATAAACATATTACATATTCCTATTACATATTCCTATAAATGCTAAATTACCTAAATTACACATATATAAGGCTACCATACCAGGGGCACCCAACGACGGTTTTCTGTAAACTAGCTGTTCGGAGAAGCAAATATTGCCTAGAATTTTTTACTACTTGAGGACGACTAAAAATTTCGAGATTACCGTTCCATTCATGTACAATTTTCGAAGCATATCGTATAAATTCCCTACAATTTTCCGACGCTTAATTTTCACATTTTACTTCCCGAGTTAGGCTTTTTTTTGTAGGAAAAAGGGAGCCTAAAATTTTCGGATTCAAATTTTTGGCGTTGAGAATCAGAAAACGTCTCACTTTCGTTATACGCCAAATTTCACCTAAAATTTTCAGAAAAATAACCCTCACGCCCCTGTAGTTTCAGAAAGACTCAAGTTCCCCTAGAATGACCGAACAGATACAAAGTTTATAGTGCCGCTTAGAATGCATTTCTAGATAGCTTAAAGTACTCTGGATAGCCTAAAAAGTGTTTTCAATGTATTTAGGGGGAAACCATCATTGGGTGCCCGTGCCATATTACCTAAACCAACACTATCACACTATATGGCACTTTTGCAGGAAATGAGACGAGAGAAAATTATAAAAGCTTCAGGAAAGGGCACACCGTATTTTGTTCAATAGCTAGTAACTCGTTTACTTATAATGAACTGTGAAGGAAATCCAATCTCAGCATATCTCATAACAGGCGACTGCATGATATTTCAATAACTATTTTCAAATATCACACAGGTCTATTGCCTACATATTTGTAACTAAGTTCCTGAAGTACAATTTAAGAACTGAGAATAATATCCAGAATTTCAACACTGTTAGATATAGTAAACATTCGATGAGACATTTCGGACCAAACCTACGGTCTAGACTTCCGAAAGAAATTAGAAATATCTCATCGTTTAGATCTAGAATTAGAAAAACAAAGATAGCGGAACTGGTTACTAATTCTAACTCTCAGAACTGCTATTTATGCCACTCTTAAGTTACTTTTGTGCTTGTATTCTTATGTATAGCGATACATTCTTATCACACATTTTGTACATCTGATTTACACCACTATATTTATAATCTTACAGTGGAGAGTATCACAAAAACTGCTTAGTAGGCCTGTGTATTGTGAAATAAATGATCAATGATAGTCACCAAACCAAGATACCCGATTTCCCAGGGTCATCTAAGTCCCCTGTTCAGTATTTAATAACTATATGATATATATCTCAAATTGTTTTAAGGCGAATCGTGAGGAGGAATCCTAGTAACTGGAGCGTATATATATGTAGGAAGTGCTAACAGTGGAAATATGCAGTCAGTATGTCGGAAAAAAAACTCGATGTGTTAAAAAAACACATAATAATATATAATAAACAATAAACAATTGTTTTGTGTTTGTTTGCTTCGCAGATGACTTTGAAATAGGAGTTATGAGCAATCAGCTTTTCGTCAGCTATAGCTCCAAAGATATGGCCTGGATCAATGAAAATCTGATCCCCATTCTCGAAAAGCACTCCGTATCCTACAGCATTCACACCCGAGACTTTGAGTTGGGACTGCCTATCGTCCAAAACATGGCAGACAGCGTCTACGGCAGCCGCAAAGTTCTGATTGTCTTGTCCGACAACTATTTCGCCAGCAACTTCTGTCGAGAAGAGCTGCACATGGCCGTCCAAAGGGAGGCGGACAGCCGAGATTCTTCGCTTATTCTTGTGGCGATTGACAAGTTGAAGAAAAAGAAGTTGCCTGGTGCTTTGAGAAACATGCATTTGCTTGACTTTGCGAAGCTTAAGATAAAACAGGATTGGGAGAAAAAGTTGTTAAATGTGGTAGCAGGCCCAGGGGCCAAAGTTGCTTAATCCGCCTCATCACAAATGTTCGTAATGTAAGTTAGTTTCTAAGGTAACTAATTGCCAGTTCAATCATATCGAATCATGATAGTTTGACCTAAGCGATAGATCAAGTGCAGAAATAGTTGGCCCGTACTGTTTAGAATCGAATCGAAGCAGCTTATGAGTCAGTTAGTTCCAAATGTATTCAAAAGCGTCCAGCTAAGTTCATGCAGATGCATGCACTTTCGAACTAAGATGTGTGCGCAGACTCAAAAAGTAATAATAAACAAAAAAAAGGAAACTGAGCACCACTAACAACAGACAACTGCAAAAAATAAGTCAAAAGCTCTCACCTTTTTACTTCGCAAGCCGTCACAAGTTAGAATCACCTTGTACCGCATAGATACAGCATTTGAATAGCACCATAGGAAAGTACTACTCCGTAGCTTTCATCAGAATGTAAACACTTTACGATTTTACCCACTGGAGACTCAAGAGTCATAGATAATCTTGAAGATTAAGAATTGAATAGGTGCTGCTCGGTAGTCTTTCATTTGTATGGCCTCAGTCTATAGCAGTTTAGTCCATGCGCTTCGAGTAAGTATCGTTTCACAGTATGATGAATAGCGCCATGAGAAATGAGTACGAACAGCTCTCACCAGAATTGCCAGCTTGCTTTCAAAGTTTCATTCACGACAGACTAGTGGGTTTGAATCTCGCTCTGACCTTTAGCTGGTTTGTCGTTTCTTGGTAGAATCAACATTGACTGTAAATGATGATTTCATGTGTATCTCTAGGATAACGTCACTGTATTTTACTTAAAGTTTATAACGGAACTACTTTATTTGTTCACCAGAAGCAACAACATAACTTGAAAGAAAACCGTAGTTCAACAGCTTTCAGCTGCATGATCAACACGTTTCAGCGCGAGACACGCGCAACGGGGAATGCCGCGCGCGCTCCACGACCGCTTCGTGCTCACCTAACAAATTCGAAAAAATAGCGCATGATTGTTGAAGGTTAGTTTCAAACTTTAGCCCACAAAAATCCTCCGTCCGATAAAGGTGCGTCTGGGTTGCCGAGGACAGCAAAGCCATAAAGTGATGATTTAATCATAATGTTTTTTTTGGAATACCGGAGTTTGCTTTCAGTTCTACACGAGAGAATAGTCATGTAAAAGCAGTAGAAAATGACAAAACTTCTGTAATGAAAGAGGCAAGGATTAGAATTTAACGTAACGATTATAATAAGTAAAAATGTCATTTGTTTTTCCCCGTTGTAAGAAATTAATCACATAATTGTTTCTTTCAATTACTGTAGAAATAGCAAGCTGAATGTATGTATTTAGTTGTTCATTATTTAATTAATTATTCTAGTTATTATATGATACCGAAACGTTGGCTTTTAACGTTAATATTCGCTTACTTACGTTTTAAGAAATCGTTTTTGATCAAGATTATTATTATTATTATTTAATTTTATCATTATTTAATTTGATAATTATTTAATCAATTGCTGTAGTAATAGTGTGTTGGATGTATTTATTTAGCTATTTAATTAAAATCAGCGTATAAGAATTAGGCTAAACACCAGCCGATTGTTAGGCTGTTTGTAGATTATTGAAATTTGTAATTTGTAAAATGGATATGCTGATGAAAAAGTCGCAATAAAATACAGGAAAGGAAGAGTCGTTGTTTTCCCTTAACCTCTCATCTGCAATGTAAAATCTGCGGCAGAAAATCGAGAGACATTTTGTCACTTTACTCGTATTTAATTTTGTCTTCAAAAACAAAATTGAAGTGTCTCTTGGACAGCTCGGGATGCAGAAGCCCCCCAAAAGAGACACCAGGGCAAGGTTACATAAGAGGGCTCTTAACTTTTGTTCTGGAACGACTTTGTACGAGAACGCAACCCCTAATTTCTGGTGGGTGTTCTGTGCATTATTGGGTGCTCTGTACAATTAATAAGCGAAGTTTTTTTGAGATTGCATTTGTGTTGACACACATTTGCCTCGCTATGAGGCGCCTGCTTACGTTTTGCCTCACTTTGACGCGCTAACTCACGTGGTGATTCGTGTGCCCTCGGCGCTCATCTTTCAAACGTTTGCAGGGGTCTGCTATTCTGTCTTCGTAAGGCGTTCATCTTTTAAAAGTTTGCTGAATCTTCCTAAAGCGTACACATTGCAATAGTTTGCTGAAGCTCTCCTATCGTTTTGTGTTTGTTGAATCTTCCAAAGCGTTCATCTTTCAAAAGTTTGCCGTTAATTTTACTTTGAATTAAGCCTTCAACTCACATTTTTCAGCATGGTTCGTCACTGTCTTTAAAAAATGTGTGCGGCTCCTACTGTATGCATCAAACCGGGTTGTTTGGCTCGGCGGCCGTTGTTCCACAAAGTAAATCGATCTACCGAGATGTGAAGCTCGGCGGTGCCATTTCATGATTACTTGTGATATTTTCTGCACCGGACAAACGAACATTTTAGCTCTATGTTATTTATTCGGAAAAACGTATAAACCAGCCCACAGTAACGCCATTCAAGTCGCTGAAATCAACACACTCGACTAAATTACTGGAAAAGGTACTGACGTGAGCCGCACACACATTCCACTGAAGGCCTTGATGATTCCCTTAAAACGTGTGAAATTGAGAGGCGTGGTGCAAGTGAATCAGTGTTTAAACACAATTCATTGTTCCCCAGCGCTCACCACAAAAAATGTGGTTTTGAGTATATAATATCAACACAAGTTAAGAAGACTTGCCAGTAACGGTTTCACTTTATACTATTTTTCGGTAATTGTCTTCATGTGGAATTCCCAATAAATAAATTAATAATTAAATCTGAAACGTTGTCAACTGTTTGCCTTTTAACAATACCTAGGCCGGGTTGTTCAGAGCCGGGTTAAGATAACTCAGGGTTAGTGCGAAATTTGAATTCAGATGTGGAAGCTTAAAATGTAAATTCAGTGTATTTCTGTAGCTCTTAAAAATAACAGAGAAAATTATTGCTCCTGGTGGTCTACTCCCTATGATGGCCTGTACGGGAAGGCTCCTGCCGAACGGGGTATCTTTTTCAGGCTTCGGCTAAATGAAAGGGTGGGGATTTTACTCGTTGAAGCATACGAAAGAGTCGGGAAATCTGTCATTTGGGTCTGTGAAAGGGCTCAAAGGGCTAACAGATGAATTATGTGGCTTTAAGAAGTCGAGAAAACCTTTTATTTTTGTGATTGATTCCAATCTAAACGACAGTACATTTACAGCAGTTAAAAGGGATGCAAAGTTCTAAATGTGAAAGGGCTACCATTTGTTAATAGAAGGTATACGAAAGGGCACCTTTTTTTCGTGAAAAATGGTATATAAAAGGGTAAAGAGTTAGAGTAGAGGGTAAGGGTAAGCAACCCTTACGTTCAAAATTTGCCATAATCATATTTATCCATCCCAAGAACCATCCACCCTTCCCCTCAAATGCTACCTGTACGCCTAACAAAACATATTGAACGCACTCTCCTAAGCTCCGATTACTCCTACTAGCCAATGTAGAAGCCAATGTAGCTCATACATCAGTGGTGTAATATGGCTGAAGCGCGGAGCGCAACAAACAACTGCGAGGCAGGTAGACCATACAAAAAGGCTATTGCAGAAGTCAACGCGAGAAGAAACGAAAGCATGCACCAAGGACTTAGTTTCCCCAGGGCTTAGGAACTTGCAGAATACGACTGATGTTATGTAGATCAAAGAAAGCTGAGCTACAGAGCTTGCTAATATGAGTAGACATACTAAGTTGAGAATCAAACCAGGAACCTAGATTCCTGACAACTGGCTTTGTGTTCACAACAGACTCACCAACAGTAATACTATTAATGTCAACCTTAGCAAGCTGTTGCTTGGTACCAAAAGCAAAAACTCAGTCTTATCATCATATAACATAAGTCGGTGTCTAGTCATCCACTTTCTTAAATCCATGATGCAATCACACTGTGCCTTTACCGCACTAGCGTCATCACCCTTCACGTTTGGACTGAACGCCAACTACAATTGCGTGTCATCGGCGTAAGAGTGCACGCTTGGCAAGTGTCGACCCACTGTATCGAATAGTTTGCTGGTGTACCTTATTATAGGAAATTAACGCTCCATGAAATTAAGGTATTGGAAATTAACGTGACTTAAATTAACGCGAATTTAATGGAAAATGACTTTCGAATAAAGAAAATTAACGCGAAAGAGGAGTTAGAATTTCATAAAAAGGAAATTAACGCGATTATCTTGGCCGAAATCAAAGGAAAAGATATTGACATCACTTCTGACAACGATGAAGATGAACTCGAAATATTGTAAACCTTCGCCTTAGCTTTTGTGAAAGATGAAAATAAAAGGTAAATGGAAAGAAAGAAAGCTTGTAGTTAATGTTTTTTAGGTGTCAAGAATGTCTGGACAGGTTCCAAATTGGGGTTAAAATACTGGTAATTAACGTCGCGGAAATTAACGCTCAACAAAATTAACGCGACTTAAATTAACGCGAATTTTAATGATTCGCGTTAATTTCATGGAGCGTTAATTTCCTATAATAAGGTATACCGTTAACAGTAGCGGGCCAAGGCATGACCCTTGCGGCACCCTTTGCGCGAGCGGAAAGGAATCTGACAGCCCTCCATTACCTGCGACACGCTGTGTACGGTCGGAGAGGTACGATAAAAACCAGTTGAGTGCCTGGTCAGTCACACGAAGTCTTGACCTCAACCGATCCAGCAAGATGTCGTGGCGTACAGTATCGAAAGCTGCGCTGAGATCTAAAAAACCACCAAGGTCACCTTTGCGCATCCATATTCAATAAGATGTCGTTCTTCACTTTTAAAAAGGGTTGATTCAGTACTATGATGTTTCTTGTAGGCCGACTGTAGCTCAAGGTGCAGACCATTGATCTTCATATGATCAGTCAATAGTCTATTTTCGAGTTCGCTATGACCGCTGAATTAAAGAAGTGAAGACGCATTTTTACAGCCGTACCCTCAATGTGAAGTAATATATTCACA